GCTTTGCAAAATACAGAATGTTATGGACTACCAAGAGAAAAGTCAAGGCATGAGGCCTTAGGCAAAATTTATTCTTAGTGCTGCAGCTGACTAGATTTGGTTTATGATATGGTAGTTAATTATATGGTAATCCTATATTTTTGTTTTTATTCTTGACTTACTTCCAAAGGAAGCCAAGTTGGCTTTATAGAGACTCACGGTGCTGAACTGTATGTTTTTTAATGCAGTTGTATTATAAACAGAATAAAATAGCGGTTCCTAATACAAGAGGCTTATAATTTATGTAGAGCTTTCTTTTATATAGAAGAAAATCAATTCAAGCATAAAGCTCGCTCAAGACCTGTGCATATATGAAGCATAAATAATGGTGAACAAAGGGAATGTTGTCTAGAATAAAACTATTTTCTGTTCTGTGCAGGACAGTATGTCACGGGACATCTAATTTGAATCATTAGCATTGTTTTGGTAATAAAAAATTCGTTTTATAGCTTTTTCAAGCAGATTCTTGTATTGTATTATAAGTGCTAGGAAAAATGCCAACACATTAAACTTACTGACCTTGTAGCAACTAAAGTGTGAATATATACTCAGCTTCCTCCTGTTCCTGTAGGACAGAGGCCATGCATTGCAGTTAATATTTCAAAGCAACACTACCACTACAAATGCAAGAAGTTACTTGTGTATCTATTCCTCAGCCTCTCCAGTTCTCCTTGTAAAACAAAACGATTTTCAGATAATATCCAGGCCTTTACTGTTTAGATTTATCGTGTACTTGATCTTGTGTAATTATGCTCAACATGTTTTAACATGGAGACAGTCTTCTCTTCATTCTGATGAGACTGAAAATCAGTTTTAGAAAAGTAACTTTTGGATTGTAGGTGAACAAATATTTGCATACTCTATTTCCTAAGGAATACATTGAAAAAACTGTTTTGTACTTAATTATACCCAGTTGTTAGTACAAAAAATATAAGCATTGCCAGGATAGTGGAGTATCTTCTCCGAACAAGACTTCATAATAGCAGTGGATTTATATTCACAGTATCCATCTGTATTGATCATCAGTGCACAAAGTACATTGCCATCTGTATTTCCTACCTTTTCTTGCATTTTTCTCATTGTATCTCAAGGTTTGGGGTTGATATTTTTTGTTCATTGGTTTTTAACAGGAGATATTTTCCCACATTTACCATTACTTCATAATTTGTCATATATTTACATTCTTTATTCTGTATTTCTCCTTTTCTGTCATCACTTTTATTGACTCTGTCTGACTTACGCACATTCCATTCAGCTCTGTTTGTTAAATAGAAACTTCAAAGTCATTTGGGGATTTTTTTAAAACAGTGTTATTTCTGTAACAGCACGTATTAGGCAGTGCCAAGACTAGAGCTTTAACATTCATGCCTGTATCTTAAAAATTGCTGAAAAAGCTGTACCATACATACCCGTTCTCAGAGACAATCATACACTTCGGCAGTTTTACTGATGGACTCAGTACAATTTCTCCTCGATTCACAGCTTAATCCACAAAATTATGAAGAAAAAAAAATCTCAAGTGGCAGCCTACATTATTATTAGTAGTAGTAGCAGTAGCAGTAGCAGTAGTAGTAGTAGCAGCAGTAGTAGTTGTACAGAAACACCAAGATATGCTGAAGAAGCTGCACAAATGCTACTGCGAGCATTGACTTCCTGAATTTGCTTTAAGCATACCTACATCTGTTTGGCAGATAACTTTTCCTCACTTCTATTGTTTCTTTTGTTTTTAACCATGTTCATGGCCAGCAAAGGGAATTAGTGTGAGCAGTCTCAGAGTCATGTAGAGCTCTGACCATGCTACAAATTTTGTCAAAGTATAATTTGCACAGCTGTGACAAGCTTGTCAGGATATACCTGAACTAGTTTTAAACCATCTCTGTGACTAACAGGAAATAGCTGTGGCAACAGAGAGATTGGTGCAGACTACCAAATTCATCCTAAACCAAGGCAAATATTTGAGATGTTTCCCACTCTGAGCTGTGTGCTGCAGGAATTACAGTTAAAGCTTGTTCAGTTGTATCTGCATGGTATTTGGACATATACAAGAGCCAGTACTGCAAGATTTTATGCATGTATATACACACTGAATAAGCAGGATGACACTGTAATTGAGAGTCTGTGTTCAGCTAGGAAATCTTAAATATAGCCTAGTGGTCCTGTTAAGAATGGCTCTGGCATTGCCTGTATTGCCTAGAAAAGAAGAACAGATGGAGGACAGCTCTTGCTGTTTCTTTCTAAAAAATTAAATCCCAGTGGTTTCTTTAAGCCATCTTCCTGCTTAAAATGGCTATCTAAATCGACATAGAGGTCAGAAATTTTATGGAGGTTTATCTGAATTTGGATCATGTTCTTAAGTCAACTTTTCACAGATCTGAGCTTGCAACAATTGTTTTTACCAAGAACTCCTTTGTTGGCTCAGTTGTATGGTAGGGCAAAGTTTAAACTGTTGCAAACTTAGTGACTAAAAGCAAATAGGTTTCTTCTTTCTCCAAACAAAACTAAAGGAATGTTTTTGTTTATCTGTTTGTTTTTCAAATTTCATTTTTACACCACTGTTTTCTTTATTATCATATTTTCTTCATACGATGAGCATGTTCCGTAATCACAGCTCTTTTACAGTAAAAAATTTACTACATGATGCAGAAATCTGTGATAGCAATTGCTGCCACTGTACACACTCAAAATTTAAGGTCAAGCTGAGAACTTAAATATTAAAACTGATAGTCAAGTATTTTAGTCAACATGACTTGTTCATCAGAGTCCAAGTTGTTCTGAAGTAGAAGTCTCACCTTCATTATATACTCAAAGTTGTTTCAGTGCTTGCTGACTACTTTGCAATACAGATTAATAGTCAAAACCTCTGGAACCAGTCAGTTAAACAAAAAAATACAGAGCTACCACTATTTTGAAAATACATAGATCTGCCAAAGATGTTACATGGGCACTTCAGAAGTTTACTTTTAGGAAATTTGTTCCTAAAAGTACAGAAGATGCTGGAAGTTAAATTTATTACATGAACAGTCTAAATTCCATTTGCCATGAAATCTGGTAATACAATTATGAGATTTTCCTTACATTACGTAATGGAAGCACTGAACAGTGCTCTGTACACACTCTGTGCACACTATTTTTAAAATCAACATGGCCTTTGCTACTTTACGAATGACTGTTCCTTTATAGGAGAGAATAATTAAACATAGTAACTTTCATTATGTGTATAGGCAGAGGAAAAAGGAGGAAATCCTGCAAGGACAATAATAACACTAATCCATTTCTAACCTATATTCTCCACCAATTTTGTTTCCAGACTGCTAGAGCTTTTCATGCCCAACAAAGTTCTCCTGCAAAAAGCAGTAAGAAATGCAACAGAGCACTGCAGGTCCCACGTTCCCAAACCAGGCCAGCTGAGGTAGCTTACTGACTGCCATGTGTGCCAGAAGCTGCCTGCAGGTGAGGCTTTATGCTGGGTCCACTGTGTGTCCTGCCCCTCTGCTTCATCATCATGCCCAGCTTTTCTCCCACCCTGCCCAAACACCAGCCCAGGAGCTCTCTCCACTTCTCAAATCTCCTGCACACACACATGCAAGGTTCAGGTGTACTCTCTCCTAGGTAAAAATCTGGGTAGAGGGCCAGGCCCAGAGAGTGGTGGTGAAAGGAGGTAAAGCTATCCGATGACTGATCACATGTGATGTTCCCTAGGGGTTGGCATTGAGGCCAACCCTGTTTAATATATTTACTGATGATTTGGTAAAGGGAACTCAGGGCACCATCAGTAAGTCTGCAGATGACACTAAGTTGGCAGGAAGTGTCGATCTGCATGAAGGTAGGAAGGTCCTACAGAGGGATCTGGACAGGTTGGATGAATGGGCTGAAGCTCAACAAGACCAAGTGCTGGTCCTGTGATTTGGTCACAGCAACCCCATGGAATGCTACAGACTTGGGGTAGAGTGGCTGGAAAGCTGCATAGAAGAAAAGGACTTGGGAGTGTTGGTTGATGGGTAGAAAACAAGCCATCAGTCTGCTTAGGTGGCCAAGGTGGCCAATGGCATCCTGGCCTGTGTCAGAAATAGTTTCGCCAGCAGGAGCAGGGAGGTGATTGTCCGCTTCTACTCAGCACTGGCGAGTCTGCACTTTGAGTGCTGTGTTCAGTTTTGGGTCTCTCACTACAAAAAGCCCTGGAGTGTGTCCAGAAAAGGGCAACAAAGCTGGTGAGGGGTCTGGATCACAGGTCTTACGGAGAATGGCTGAGGGAGCTGGTATTGTTCATTATGGAGAAGAGGTGGCTCAGAGGACCACCTCTCCCTACAAATCCCTGAAAGGAGGCCGTGGCAATGTGGGGGTTGGCCTCTCCTCCCTCATAACCAGTGGTAGGATTAGGAGGAATGGCCTCAAGTTGTATCTGAGGAGGTTTAGGTTGGATATAGCAAAAATTTCTCTGAAAGAGTGGTCAGGCGCTGGAATGGGTTGCTCAGGGAGGTGGAGGACTCACCATGCCTGTAGGTATACAATAAACATGTAGATGTGGCACTGAGGGACATAGTGAGCATGGTGGTGGTGGGCTGATGGTTGGACTAGATGATCTCACTGGTCTTTTCCAGCCTTAACGATTCTATTCTATGATTCTATGACTTAAAGCTCCTTGCAGCCTCTGCAGTGGTGTGCAGCTTTGTCTTGAGACCTCACCCCAAATGGGTTGTGCCCCACGATTGCAAAAATATCTCCATCGCTGCAGATAGAAGTTGTGCCCTCAGAGCACACAGACGCCACTGACGTGTAGCAGTTCGGCATCGATTCACCTCGCATGCGCGCCCGCCGGGCTCTGGGGGGTGGGGACCGCGCGTCACGGAAGCGGGCGGGATGGGGCGGGGCTGCGGGGCCCCACCGGGGCGGGGGTGGAGGCGGAGCGGAGGAGGCTCCGCCGCGGGGGGAAGGGCCGAGGCGGGGGCGGCTCTGGTGGAGCGGGTGGGGGAAGGGCGAGCGGTGGAGCTTCGGCGGCAGGGATGGAGCACCATCAGCCCGCCAGCCGCTACCAAGTGGTAAGCGCCGGGGCTCGCGCGGTGCTCCCCAACCGTTGGGTTTTTTCTTCCCCCGTTTTGTCGGCGGTGCGTGGCTGAGGCCCTCGGGGGCGGCCAGCACGGCCCGCCTGGGCGGAAAGCCGCCGTCGCCCGCCCCCTCCCCTCCTTCCGGCGGGGCCTCGTCCTCGGGTCGCCCGGAGGGGCTGCGGGTGCCGTCTGTCCTCCGCACGGCGCAGTTCCTGCGGGAAGGCCGGGGGCTGTCGCGGGGATCCGGCGGGGCGCGGGGAGCCGGGCGGCGCTTTACAGCCCTCCGCTTCGCGAGCGGTTCGTGGGGATGGGCCGCGGGGCTGCGGCGGTCCGTGTGTGCGGGCACACGGCAGCCGGGGCTTACCGTGGTTAGCCTGCAGCCCCGTGTAAATGCTCCTTCGTTCCTCCTAAAGCGCGCTCGATTTGGGAGTAAAGGCTTTTGAAATGGTGTGGGTGCAGCCAGTTTGCTTAGAAGTCTGTGTTTGATCCTTTGGTTCCTGTACTTCGTGGCTTTGCTGAAGGTGTGCTACAGAACCCTGAAGCTTGCGTTACTAGCTGTGGTTTGGATTTTTGATAACAGACTTTTGCCTAAATCCTGGCTATGATGCTGTTTTTGGCACCTTGAATGGAGGAAGCAGAAGTAATTACATCTACTGTGTTTTGTGACTCTCTGCGTGTCTGGGTCTGATTTACCCATTTCCCTGGACATCAATGTTGCCTTTGGGTCCAGGCCATAAACTCGTGTTACTTTTTATATAACGTAAGTCAGTATTTATTTATCACATTGTTTCTAGGCTATAATGCTGAGAGTCATAAAAGGAAATCCCTTGTGTGGGTTCAGAGTGTTTCCATTGGGAGCCCTAGGGACTGTGTGGGGCTTCTGTCCTTGTGTGATGATACATAGTGGCAAACGTAGCAGCCTGTGACCTCAGAGGGGCAATGCATGCCTTCAGAGCAACAGTGGGTCCTGAAGTGCTTTCCGAGTCCATGCATACTTTTTCCCATGCCACATGACTGTAATTTGGAGTCAGCAGAAGTCTTGGAGTCATTTCTTGCTCTTTGAAAAGGAGAAAGAAAATGCTGGCAGAGCCATTTCTTAAAAGCTGTCAAATGCTATGCCCTCCCCGAGGCTTGAAGTAACCTGGGTCTGTTTTAAAACCCCTTAGAAATTGTAGTTCTCTTACTCAGAGGAGTAGAAAAAAGCATTGGAGAATGAAACAGAGATAACTTGCCTCTTAATATTTTTGTTCTACTTGACTGGAACTTCCAGCCATGGTGCTGATGCCCAGCTTTGGATAAATGCTTCCTGGTGTGGCCTTCCAAAAGGGCTGATCCTAATGTTAGTTGGCCCATTTGGTTTTCCATGTGCAGCAAGCTTTGTGGTTGGTTTAAGTCACTATTTTGTTATGGAAGTGTTCTCTGAAGCCTTCATAGTGACAACACTCTTTAGTTCCTTTGAATTTATTGTGAGTCATAATGAAACTGTAGTTTTAAACTGTAATTTTTAAAAAGTAGTTTTAAAAAAGGTTTAAAATACCTTACTCATTGCTATTCTGTAAGACCATGCTGTTTTATCTTCTCTTCAGAATATCTGACTGCCAGACATTGAGATTTTGGTAATGCTATTTATTTATTGTATTGAGTCAGAGAATGGTAGGACCTGACAGCTGCAAATGTACTTAATCACCTGTTTATTCCAGCCTGTGATTTTGTTAGGAGGTATTTCCTTGTGTAACATCTGTGACAGGTAGTAGGCGATAGATTACTGTAGATTTTATGGCTATTTACTCATCTTTAAGGACAAAATACTGAGGTGGATACTACTTAATGTGCTAACACTGCAGTATTTTTGTAGGCGTACTGTTCTCTAGTGTTAAGTTTTGGAAAACTGATCAGTTCTGATGTATTCATTGTATATCTTTATTTGTTTTGCTTCATGAAAAATAAGCACTCCATGCACTTCATCCTCCCACCCCCATTTTTGCCAATCCGCCTTTGCTTCTAACTGATCTTTCTTTGGTCTATTTAGTGCGAGTTCTCTTCTACATCATAACAGAATTACTGGTTTACATCTCTGTGTCAGTGACAGCAGGACTTTTAGTGAAGTTAAAGGAGCTGTATTTCTGCTGCCTCTTTCTGCTGGTGCTTTCTCTAAATACCTTAAACTGAAAGGCTTAAAGGTGGGTGCTTTAATTTTAAGCTTTAGACCACAAGCCACTCTTAAGACTTTGTTTCATATAAAGTCAGCATTTGGTTTATCTTCATTGATTTACATCAAAATACCAGTGCTAAATTCTTATTCTTTCTTTTCCTTCTGTGTTACATTGAAAAACAAACAAACAAAAAAACACAAAAAAACCCACAACAGTTTAAGAACCTTCCAACGATACAGAGAAAGCTGCTATTTGGAATTGTAGCAAAGTGTTGTAAACGCAGAGCAGTCAGTAAATCAGCATTACCTAACTCTCTGCCGCAGGCGTGTGTGACTTGTATTGCTTTCTGCCCCCTCCTTTTTGTCCCTTCTTCATAGGGCAGAAAGACAACTAATTGATGGGAAGAATTTGTCATGTCTCCCTGCAGGAATATATGACATCAGAAATTAGTTAGCCAATCTTGGTTTTCTTACTTTACTATACTTTTTTTTTCTTTTTCTTACTTACATACAACAATCCCTTCAATACATCTTAAATTTTAAATTATTTTTTGACGTTTTCAGCTGTTTCCCTTTCTTGTTTTCTTTTTTTTTTCCCTTTCTGTTTTCTGCTCCTTGTTGAATAGAAGGACTGAGACATCATTAGGAGATTATAATGAAATTTATTCACTGAGTGATCGTTGTGATTCTTTTTACCTACTTGTTCTTTGTCATCTGACCTTAATTTGTGCATTGCTATCTTACTGTTTGAGATGTCTGCTCCTACTGCAGCTTGTTTGCAGAAAAAGTGATGCGAATGCTGCTTTGTGAATCCATACTCAAGCAAAGCAAAAGAAATGCTTTTTTTTTTTCCCCCTGCAGTGTGTAAAAATGAGTGAGCAACTAAGTACTAAAGCTTGGGATGGCCTTTTCCTGTGAAAGGATTTTTCAGGTAAATGAGTCATGAGGGAGGACTTCAACTGCATGTCAGTGATTTAGGTGCATAAATCCCATTATAAGGTAAAGAATTTGTATGTTGAAATGTTTAAGAAGTGTAATAAACTTCCCCCAAGTCCTTTTTGATTAAAGCTTTGGGTTGTTCTGGGATCAGATAGCCATGAATCTTTGACTTATTGTGGGGGAAGGGGGGGGGGCAAGGCTTCCAAAACCACAGCCTGCTATTGTACAGCACTGTAAGGATTAAAGACACTCGGTTGTGTTGTTTTGTTTTGTTTTTTTTTGCAGAGATGCCAGTCTTATGACTGTGAAGTTGTATGTGCTTTTTAGAAACAGGATGACGAGATCAAAGTTGATACCATAAACAATTTATTCTGATTAATTTGCCTGTATAGTGATACATGATATGAATAGCTTTGCAATTATCTTAGCTGATGTTTAACGTCCTGCATCTCTTGTGTGGTGGGATGACCTTGGCTGGCAGCCAGTTGCTAGCCGTGCTGCTCCTTTACTCCCCTTTCTCAGCAAGAAAATAAGATGAGAAACCTCATGGGCCAATATTAGGAGAGGGAGATGGCTCAGCAATTACCATCACAGGCAAAACAGACCTGACCTGGGGAAGACAAATTCACTGTTAATGAATAAGAGTAGAAAGAGTAGTAGTGAGAAATCAAACTAAAAGCACATGCTTTCCCCATCCATTCTTCTCAGGCTCAACTTCAGTTTTGGTTCTTCTACCTCCTCTCTCAACCCTGAGTGGCACAGCAGGACAGTGAATGAGGCTTGCAGACAGTTTCTAGGAATTTCTCTGCTGCTCCTTCCTCAACATGCTTTGCTCGTGCTCCCGTATGGGATCCCTCCCACAAGATGCCATCCTTCCCAAACTGATCCTGCACAGGCTTCCCTCGGGTTGCAGCTCCAACATGGCTCCATACTATGGGATCTATCCTTCAGGAACTGCTCCAGCATGGGTCCCCATGGGCAGCAGCTTCCACAGCCTTCCTTCCCCATTGTGGCTTTTCTCTGAACCAGCTCCTGACTGGGCTCAGCATGGGCTGTGCCTCCTTCAGGTCTCATCCACTGCTGCCCTGTGGGCTCCTCCATGGCTGCGTGTGGAGATCTGCTCCGTGTGGTGGTGCCTGTGAGTTTCAGGGAGACAGCCTGCTCTACTATGGGCCTCTCCTGGGCTGTGGGGAATGCTTGGAGCATCTTTTACCTGCTCTCTGCACTGACCTGGCTGTCTGTGTGATGGTTTCCCTACGTTTTCTCCTTTTTCACATTTGCTGTGCAGCGTTTGTTATCCTTTCATAAATCTGCTGTCTTGGAGGCACAATCTGTGTTAATGTTGCTTGTGTCTCAGCTTTGGCCAATGACACTTGTCTTTTGCATCCAGCTGGAGCTGCCTAAGTCTGGAATTGGGGTTGGGGAGGGGGGCTGCTCCCAGTCTCAGAGAAAACCCTCCTGCACTTCTGCACTACCAAAAACTTGGTGTGTAAACCCTGTAAATCTTAAATCCATTGTTACTGATTCTTTTCTCTTACAGTGTTACCTGGTTTATCCTTAGTTAAAGTCAAGTCTTTCCGTCTCAGGCGTGAAAATCAACCTATACAGGAAATGTGCACAAAGAAAACTTTCCTTTCTTGTCATAAGACTAAGGTTAGCTGTGGTTGGCAAATAAATAAAACCAAATACTCATTATTCTATGTCTTTAACTTAAGATCTCTATCCTAAAGGTAGTATATTTTATGTAGCATTTATTCTCTTTGGAAAACTCTTACCTAGTTGGTGTTATAGAACAGACTGAGCTAGCTAACGTGAGGGAAATTCTGTTGCTTTCCTCATATCTGATGGTGAAGTTGTAACTGGAAGATAAGATGCTACATTTAGGAGACTCAGTTTATGGTACTGAAGAATATTGAGTAAAGATGTATTAAGTGATAAGTTTTACTGTTGCTTGTCTACAGTGGTTAAGCTGACACTTTTAGTATTCAGACTTCTTATCCATTGACGATAAAGTCCTTTCAGTGCATTTTGTACTTGAAGTTTAGGAGGGCTAAAACATATCCTATGAAATGAAGTAGATTTTTTTAAAATAAAAATAGACTGTCCTTGCATCTTGTTTATTATTAAACTGTAAAAAAATAACTTAAATTTTGTTTTTTTTCTATCGCACTTTTACTTGTGACAAAATTGTGTAATAAGAGGAGCATAGTGTTTCTTTCTTGAGGTTGTCTTAATGCCTTTATGAACACTTACGCTATTTTTGTGAATAATCTTGCTGCAAAAGAAGACAAAAAATTGCAGATATTAGTGTGTTTTCCAATGCAGCAATGATGCAGTGAAAATTTAAAAAGTAAGGAAATTCAGCTTTATTTTTCCAATTAAGTTTTTGAACATGTTTGTGTTTCATAAGAAGCAAGGAAATAATGTTCAGGTCCTCCCTAAGCTAGCTCCTCTCTCGTTAAGGAGCTGAGATACAATACTGAGGTACAATCCTGTACATCGGTTACAAATTTTAAGCAGGGTAGTCTAACTTGGTTTGTTGCCCTGATGGTGTTTTTGGGAGGGTGGCAGATGTAATACCCAGCTCTGCGTCTGTTTTACAGGGAGAGATGCTGTTTCAGTGACCCAGCAGGAGCAGTTGCAGACACAGAAGCTTGCTGCTGCTTTGTGGGTGCAGACTGTGGCATGTGGGCTGTCCCCATCTCTTTGGCGGGGAGGCAAAGGGAAGTAAGGTGGTTTTCATCAGCCCTGTGTTTAAAACAGATGAGTTATGTAGGACACCAGTGTTAGTGAACTGAAAAAAAGCTGAGTAGTAAAAAATGATAAAAATGTACCTGGGTTTACTCACACTTGTTTCCAAAGGACTTCTTAGGCCTGAATTTAAGGTTGTGTCTGCACAAGGGAAATAAGAGGAAGAGATGGGAACAGCATTGTCCTTTCCGGTGGTAGCAAGCTGTTGGTTTGGATGAGCCTATTTTGTGAATCTGGGGTTTTTCTTAGGTTTCATGAAAGAAAGATGTACCTGCTCTGAGCAGTGACACAGAACTGTGAAATGTAAGAGTAAAGCTAAAGTAAATATAAAGAGTAAAGGCCATGTTGTGTAAATGTCACATCTTGTAAGTCCTGTAATTCCTTTAAAAGGCAGAAGTTCGGTAACAGGAACAGCATGCTTTCAAGTAACAGGGTTCTCAGCAGAAGATAGCTGTAAACCAACCAATCATGTCTGCTCTGATCATGCTACATTAAAAATGAGGAACTTTAAGTCCTCTGTCAGCTCCTCTGAAAAATGAGGTAGAAACTACATAAGGAGAGCTTCAGAAAACTTGTACTTAAAAAGTGCTGTGGTAATACAGAATCATATTATAGAATGGCCTGGGTTGAAAAGGACGACAATGACCACCTAGTTCCAACCCCCTTGCTATGTGCAGGGTTGCCACCATCTAGACCAGGCTGCCCAGAGCCACATCCAGCCTGGCCTTGAATGCTTCCAGGGATGGGACGTCCACAACCTCCTTGGGCAACCTGTTCCAGTGCATCATCCACCACCTGTGGAAAAACTTCCTCCTAATATTTAACCTAAGCCTCTCCTGTCTCAGTTTAAAACCATTCGCACTTGTTCTGTCACTGTCTACCCTTGTAAACAGCTGTTCCCCTTCTTGTTTATACACTCTCTTCAAGTACTGGAAGGCTGCAGTGAGGTCTCAGTGAGAAGGCTGGAGCCTTCTCTTCTCCAACCTAAACAAGCACAGTTCCCTCAACCTTCCCACATAGGAGAGGTGCTCCAGCCCTCTGATCATCTTAGTGGCCCTCCTCTGGACCCTCTCCAAGAGCTCCATGTCCTTCCTGTACTGGGGGCCCCAGGCCTGGACGCAGTACTCCAGATGGGGCCTCACAAGAGCTGAGTAGAGGGGGGACAATCATCTCCCTTTCCCTGCTGTCCACTCCTTTTTTAATGTAGTCCAGAACACAGTTGGCCTTGTGGGCCGCAAGTGCATACTGCTGGCTCAAGTCCAGCTTCTTGTCCACCAGGATCCCCAAGTCCTTCTCTGCAGGGCTGCTCTCAAGGAGATCTCCCCTCCCGGTTTGTATAAATACCTGGGATTGCCCCAACCCAAATTATGTTAGCAGCCCTCTTTCAGATGGGAGATGAGGTACTTAGGAAGAATGCCTAATTCTATACTATTTTTGAAACATTCTTCCTAATGAGTGTTGACAGGAAAAGGAACAAATGACAACATTGCTCTCGGCCATCTATCAGCACTACGAGTTATCTGGAGGGGTCTCAGAGGATTGGAGGCTTGCTGATGTGATCTACAAGAAGGACTGTAAGGAGGATCTGGGGAGCTACAGGCCTGTCAGCCTGACCTCAGTACGAGGGAGAGTTATGGAGCAAATCATCTTGGGAGAGATCAAATGGCAGGTGCATGGTGTCCAGGGAATTGGGCCCAGCCAGCATGGGACCATGCAGGCAAGTTGTGCTTGACCAACCTCATCTCCTTCTGTGACTGGGTGACCAGCCTGGTAGATGAGGGAAAGGCTGTTGATGTAGTCTTATCTAGATTTCAGCAAAGCCTTTGATATGGTCTCTCACAGTATTCTCCTGGGGAAACTGGCTGCCTGTGGTCTGGACAGGTATACACTCCTTTGGGTAAGAAACTGACTAGAGGGCCATGCCCAATGGGTAGTGGTTAATGGAGCAAGTTCAGCTGGTGACCCATTACAGCTGGTGTCCTCCAGGGGTCAGTACTGGGGCCCATCTTGTTTAATATCCTTATTGATGACCTAGATGAAGGGACTGAGTGTACCCTCAGTAAGTTTGCAGATGACACCAAGTCGGGAGGTAGTGTTGGTCTTCCTACCCTTAGGCAGGCCCTTTAGAGGGGTCTAGATAAGCTGGATCTCTTGACTGAGGTTCAGCAAGGCCAAGTGTCAGGTCCTGTATTTTGGCCACAACAGCCCCATGCAGCATTATAGGCTTGGGGCAGAGTGGCT